CAGATTCTATTAATCTCTCATGTTATTTCTCTTTCTCATTTTATACTATATAATATACTAAGTTTAAGAAAAAAATTTTGATTATTATTTCTATATACAATTTTCCTTAGCAAAATATTTCAATATCGAAAAGAAAGAAAGAATGAAAAGGATCCGCCCTGATGCGAGCCACCATGTGCTATAGTTGGCGAGCAGAAGCCATACTTTTCATTTTTTCCAAAGCAACTTATACGAGTAAGGTATTTCTATTCCGCATAAAGTAGCAACCATCTGCTTATCCACAAACCCGAATTTATATACCAAAAATATAAATAATCTCTGACTTCAAGCTATTCCTTCGCTCATCTTTAAAAAAATATATATTATTAAAAAATATTCTTATGTATAAAACATATTATATATATATATATATTACCATAAGTATACGTATTTCACATATAAATGAAATCAAAGGATGTCCTCGTGACAAGAATAACATTATATCCCTTTAATTTCAGGTTAATTATTTTACACACCTAAAGAAAAAAACACAATAAGAATCTCATCTCATTTACCTCTCACAATCAGACATAATTATTCCCCAGTGGAGAGAGTAATAACGAGCCAGAGAAAGAAAAAGAAATGGAAATAAGAGATTGACAAAAGAATAAATGAGATAAAATAACCGGCTTGTTTTTTATTTACTTTTTTAATATTTTTTTGTTTTTTTTACAATTACACGGTTTCGGTACGTCGCACTTCGCATCGTGCATGTCACAAGAAATAAAACCCGTTAGCACTATTTTCTCGTAGACTCATTGTCTTTTTACCTCCCTTTACATCTCTTTCTTTCATTCCATCTCCCTTTATCTCTCTCTCTCTTTCTCTCTTTTGTCCTTTCTCGCATAGCAATAACGCTCTCTCGAAAGCGTGACTCAACTTTTCTCTGTTCGTCGAGTTTCTACAGAAGAACTCAACGATCGATATGTTCGTTTACGTTTCCCATTGATGTATATACGCTGACGACTATCAAAATACGATTAGAAGATTAGAAATGGTATTAGCTAGCAATCTGATTCGCGACTGACACGATCAATAAGAAGGAAATAGCCAAGTTCCTGACGCGAACAGGAAATTTGCTATTTGTGGAAGGACAAATATTGCATGTTTTACTCTCCAGTGTTTCTTTTTCTCTCTTTCTCTTTCGTACATTGAACGTTCTAATCTCGTTGCTTGCATTCGTTGCGTTCTACGACTTTTACGTCCTTTCTCTACTCGTCGACAACCTTTTTACAACCTTTTCCCCAATGTCTGTACGCTAAAAAAAAATAAATAGTACTTTCTAAGGCTAACACATTTCGTTCTGATCATTGGAAAAATTTTGCAAATAAAATGTTATCATATTATACATATTTATTCTCATTTATGTACGATTAATTATATTAAGTATCGTTCCATTTTGTTTTTCATACAAATGATGAAACAAATTAACTACATATTATTAAGATCGTTTCTTTTTCTTTTATTTCCAAATTGTAATTATAATTTATTATTTAATCCTATCGCGATATTGCAAATATTATTATAAGTAAATTATTTAATTTTATTTACGATCTTCAATGATGTATCTATACTTTTCTTTTATTTTTCTTTCTGTGTCTCTTTCTTTTCTATTCTCGGTAAAAATTCACAAACAATGTTTCTTTATCTACGGAATAACAGTGAAACTGGTGAAAAACGAATTAACCAATGACTCACCAGACAACGAGTACATCAGATATTCATCCAAAACGTAAAAACAATGCGTCATAGAAGAAAAAAGAGCTCCCAAGTAATACGAATTACGATAAAGTTGATTCTTTGAAGTAAATTCGTTGATAAGAACTAACTTTATCTTAACGCATTTGAGCAACATTCTAAGATTCATATTTTTATTTGCTGATTTCACTCCATTTATTAGCCATTAGCAAAAAAGAAAAAACAAAAAATACAATATACGTTACTTATAATACAAATGTTTTCCTACTAATTTAAATGTTTGTCTAAATTCTGTAATACAATTTTTGTTTACAATTAAACGAAATTACAGAGAAAAAGATATACTTTACAATGGGTACAAATTCATTAAAAACTTCTTTTCACAATACAAAAGAGATAATTTCTTGCAATCCTGTAAGGTATAATTTTGATCGTACCTTGAAGAAGAATACAACAAGTACGGTTGTTTCTCCAGTATCCTCTTACACAATTATATGATTCTTTAATCTATCATACTCGGTGCTCTATCGACAACTATGTCAAGAAAATGAAATATATAACACGCTAAATATATTTTACCATATTTCTACATGTTTACCGAAGATAAGATACTTTGTAAAACGATTGCGATGAAAGTCACGTTCCAAACAGTTTAAACGTGTAAATAAAATTAGAAGAAAAAAAAAAAGTAACTTAATACAAACATGAAAAATAGTTACTCCATGTAAATTGTATCGAAAAAATTAAAGGAAAAAATTATTCAATAAAAGAATTCTATGAACAAGTTTATCATGGTGTCCCCTTGCTAGTACGCCGTTGGACAGTAGACGACGATTAACGTAGAATCTTAAGTGTCTCGTGATCTTCGTTTCTTTCTACTTTTATCCTTTGGTCTTTCTCTTCCGTTCGTTCACGTTTAAAACATGGATCGTTTTATACGCTTCGACCGCACAAAGTCGAAGACCCTTCAACGAGTGTCGAACGAGGCGTGGCAAGGAAGACAGAAAGAAAGAAAGAAAAAAAAGAAAGAGAAAGAAAGAAAGAATCAACTGGAGAGTCTCTTTAAATTCGATCTTATTACTCGCCATTTTTATCTTTAATTCGATTAAAGAACCTCTTGCTAAATTCTTTTCCATGTATGTTACACGTATATGGGTGTTAATCTATTCTAAAGTGAGTGTGATCAAAAAGAAACAAACAAAATCTTATAACACTCTCATCTTTCCTTTATATTTCTTTTTTTTTGACTTTAATTTATTAATGAGTGTTAAAGGAAAAATAAGAAAAAGAAAAGAAAATAAAAGGAATGTTGTATCGATTAAATCGATTAATCCTACTGCACGTTCTTAATTTCTTAATTCTTTAATTACACACAATTTGATACCATCATGAACTCATACAAAAGGCTTTCGAGCAATCAAGGAAAGCCTCCTTATTTATTTTTAATCGATTTTTCTCTCTCTCTCTCTCTCTCTTTCTCTCTCTCTCACACGGCTTACTTCGATTGTAGATAAGCTTTATGTTATTGCACGTTCGACTTTGTTCTTAATTAAACGAACGATCTTAAAAATACCGGTACATTGATGTGTTAGTTCAAAGTCTACTGTGTAAGAGTATAGTATTAAGATGAAGGTAATAATTAAAAGTAATCACTCTTTTTGTTGAACATAACGTTACTCGATGACCGCGTTGCTCGTTCGCGTATAACGTGAATTCTTATAAAGTACGAAAGCTTACAATTATAATTAACTCATACGACAATGAAATGACTTGAGAAATGTTTATATATATACGTGGAAATTGAAATTTGACAACAACAAATATAAATATTGTATACTGTATTATACATCCTAACGACCAGGTTGATCCTTCGTATTTGAATTTATGTTATTTTTCATTATGTAGCATAATTCTTACGATTAAACCAACGAAAGATGTATACGTTTGATCTCTCTTTCCTTTATATGTAATTGTGCTAATAATTATGACAATGGACTAAGCCAATAGATGGAAAAAAAATTGATTTTATGATTTTTCTTTTATATAATATCTAACCATTATTTATATTATATTAATCAATTTTTTCAATCTTTGACTTAGCTGTTATAATAATTACCGGCACATATATATATGCACACGATATTCTTTCTTTTTTCTTTCTTTTTTCTTTTTATAATCTTTATTATAACTTTGATAGCTTTTCATCATAATTGAGATTATTTAACCACTCGACTCATCAACGTTATCTCTGGAATCCATCGAGTTGCTCACTTCGTGCGTAGCCCTTCTATTGATCGACTCGAAACTACCAACTCACACCGGGTATGATTAGTATGGATTTTCCTACCGTTTTTGCAATTTTCTTTTTACAAAGTTCGAAAAGGATCGATCGTTCGATTGTTATCAAAATTGCTATGAATGAAATGAAACATCTTCCGTCTCTCTCTCTCTCTCTCTCTCTCTCTCTCTCTCTCTTTCACTCTTTATAGTTTGTAACTGTCCCATATAATTAACTTCATTATGAAATTAATCTAATTCCCAAGCTCGATTATTAAGAATCTTATCATAATTTTTCACAAATTATCTTCCATAAATAAAAAAGAAAAAAGTTTGATGAATTTATCTTTAATTCGTTAAACGAAATATTCCCTCTTTTTCTATTTCAAAACTGTCCACTTAAGATAAATAATCTAAACCCTTATTGATATAATATTAGTAAAATAAACAAATCAACATATTCGAAATTAATTCAAACTAATTACAAACAAAAAATATTATTTTCTTTTTTCAATTTTTATTAACTCTATTCTCTTAATAAAAATAATCAGAAAATTTGATCGGGAAAGATCGATAAATAAATTTCTTTAGAGTTATTCTAATAATAATCAAATTCAATAAAATACACTAATACTTATTTATTATTAAACTAATGAAATAACTTTATACCACTATATCATCGAAATAGTTTAATATAAAAGTAAGTTAGGAAGAATCTTACCTTAGCACCGATCTGGTTGCCGCATTGTCCAGCCTGCAGATGTACAATCTCCCTCATTGTTAAAAGATTTTTCTTTCCTAACTTTGTGACAGCAAGTAGAAAAGAAGTAGTTCCAGTAAAACAGCTGATCGTTTGTCTATCTCCTTCTTACTTGCTTGCTTGCTAGCTTACTCTCTCTCTCTCTCTCTCTGTCTTTCTCTTATTCTTCTTCTTCTTCCTTCGTTTGATACACGTTGGATAAGTAAAGTCAGGTCGATCCTTCAGGGTCTGCAGCACTCTCTCGTCTGTTCGACGTGTCAGAAGCGAGTGCGCGTTGAGAAGCCTGGAAGAGGAGGCAAAACCGAGTGCAGCCGTGCGTCGCGACGGGAGCACGAATGGAGTCGCTTCGTCGTTCGACCGAGACAGAAGAAAAGAGAGAAAGAGGGAATAGGGAAGGAAGGGGAAGGAACCGATGTCGTGCTCAACTCGTGTCTTGGATACAACGACAAGGGACACCTCAGAAGGGAAGAGAATACTACACCAAGGGTTGGATCAGACTACCAGGACGATGATAATGATAGTGCAGAACGAGAAACAAGAGGAAGGGAGAGAGAGAGGGGAAAAATAAAATTTGTTCTTTCGAAAAAATAATCGAAGAGTATATTTAAAGAAGTATAAACTGGCAAATATTAATCAAATATATGTATAATAGAATTTGCTAATAATAAATTATGAAATAGTTGGTGATATCATCGGAAAAGGAGAGTGAGAGAGAAGAATAATTACATTTTATTGTTTTTTTTTTTATACGAGTCTAAAAGTTCTTGTATTATTTCTTTTTTTTTTTTATTTATTTATTTTATTATTTATTTATTATTATAATAAAAATAAAGACTATAAGATGAAAATGAAATATTTTATATAGTAGATTGATGAAATAAGTGGAAAAGAAAATATTAGAGAATAATAAAATAAATAATAAAGTAAAAGGGGAATCATAAAACAGAGTAGTCATTATTAGTAAAATTATAAGTAAAAAGAAGTAGAGCCTGGCTTGGCTCAATCTTTTCTTGCTACTTCCTCTTGAAACGTCAGAGATGCTGGGTGATGATTCTTCTCTCCCCCGACTCTTAGCTTCTTTTATTCTTACTAGATCTCATTTCTAGAACCAACGAGTAAGATTTCTTTCGTATGCTCGTATTCTTATAATCCTTTTTTCTTTATCGCTACGATCACTCGCCTAAAAAAATTCTTCACGGAATATTCTTATATGGAACATATAAATTGTATTTTTCTCTTTTTGTTCTTCATTTCTTTTTTTTACTCGATCTAACATTATTGTCTAAAATCTTTACTCAAATATCGAATTTTCATAAATATCGCAAAATTATTTAAAAATAAAAAAACGCATATGAAAATTTTATAGTTAATATAAAGTTTATATTTAGTTTATATTTTATAAAATCAAGCCTACTCTTTCTAGGTTAAAAATCCGTAAATAAATAAATCTATATTTATCTAATATAATCAATAATATACCAATTAATATGATGAATCGCTATCGATGTAAACTCTTCTTATTAAAAATGAAAGATCTTATCGTAGATAAAATACTTGCAGTGATTTATGTGATTCATTGTCGGTTTGTTTTTACGTCTTATCCAAAAATAATTTCAAGTTCAAAAAAAGATAAAAGAAAGAGAGAGAAAGAGAGAGAGATAGAAGAAATAGAAAAAACAATATATAAATGTTCTGAGATAAGTGCAAACATTTTTTTGCCGACTTTTTAAATCAATAAACGTCATCTTACGATGATGAGTTTACATAGGAAATAAAAGTCTATTAGTCGTATTTCATTTTTCATAACGATGTTAAAAAAATAAAACAATCCCTGGAATAGACGTCTACCGTCGTAGTTGCATCTTATTTCTGTTTCTTAAACAGATAGTATATTTACATAGATAAGTACACTAGGTTTTCCTTGGATTCATTATTCCTGCGGGAAAATAAAAAATGTAAAGTGAAGTTAACCGCACCACCCGGAAGTTTTATTCGAGGGCTTCGTAATGCGTCGACAGGAAGTGTAACGTGAGCCTGAATTTTTTCCACAAGCTATTATATATACACGTATATATATTTATCTCTTTTGCTCCCCTTTTTTCTTTTTACTCAAATTGAAACGTTATAACAGTAAGAGTGATATTTTGTATTTCCTGAATTCAACACTACTCATTTTGATTGATTTGTCAAAAAAAAAAATTTTTTTTGTATATGATATATATGATGATTTTGCAGTTTTCATAGATGATTTAAACAAATATAAAATGTCTACACGAGTGGGTTGAAAAGTTTTGAGCCACAACAAAAAAGAAATTGTTTTTAATTAAGTATAACACTTTTTAATTTAATAAATATTTTCTATTATTATTAACATAAATAAAATATTATGGATAATTATACTAAAAAAAATGTCTTATATATTATTTTCATTCGAATTAAAACAGAACGATATTATGTAGACAAACAAATATCACACGATTATTTCTATTATCCTTATCTGAGTTCTTTGAAGCATTTTTATAAAACAGTATCGAAAGTACATTGAACCATACTCATCAATTCTGATCTCAAGTTATTAGTTTTAAAGGGTGAGGCTGGATTACAATCGTTATCTTAACCTGTGAATCACTCTTAAACATACAAGTTAAGACTTTATAAAACGTTCGAATTATCAAAGAAATACGAACTATCGGCACGGAAAAGAAATTTAACACAAAAAAAGAAGAAAGAAACAAAGAGAGAAATATCATACGGCGAGTTTAAAAAGCCTTTTATCTCATAAGTCAATTTAAAAACAACGTATGTAAGTATTAAAAGTATAGTTGCTCTCTCAGTTTCTTCGAGAATGATAATAATCGAAAAGGAAGACGACGATCCTTCTGTCTCCAGCTGTGATGCTCTCCCGCTGCTCTGAAACCTTTCTATTATTATTGTATCTTCATTTTAGTCCTCTGTTATCTTTAAAACTATTCTTCCTCGAGTAAGCCCCTTTAAATCTTCACTAACAAATATTTATTTTTCATAGTATACTTTGTTAACAATTATTTTTAATATCTGCAATCTTCGATAAAGGTATATACATTTTTAATTTATTCTTTTACCGTACATATTATTAAAATCAAAATGATTAACACCTACTAATCACTCTGTGTGCAATTAAAAAATATAAAAGAGTATTTTTTCATTATAATAATTGTATATATTTATATCACTTGTTTTCTCTCACTTTCTCTTTCTTCTTCTCTTTTTCATTTCTTATAACATTCATACACCTACATATTATGTATATTATTTTTAAAACTAAAAAAAGTAGTTATTACAAAACGCAATAATGTAATTGTGATAATATAATTTAAATCATTAATTCTAATTGAATAATTATTTATTAGTCAGTATTATTTTTTCTTAAAAATAAATCACACATTAAAAGATTTTAAATATAAACTTATTTTTAACAATGTTCTATCAAGGAAAGCAACATTTCAACTTTTTATCTTAAATGAAGAAATGCAATCTTATGAAAAATGTAGTCTATCGATTCAACGACAAATTCGATAGTTTCCAATAATATTTGTATTCGCGTTGTATAAAAGATTTGATTTTATTTCCGAATTATTCTTTTTATATAATTACCGAATGGCGTCTTGACTCGAATCGAATTCGCAAAGCGAGACGAGTATGCATGTAGCCGGATGATGAGTCATGCTTACTCCTCCATACGGGGTCGACGTCTGCCGCACTTTGTCAAAGAAGACCGGCTAGCTAGAAAGCTTGTAGACATTTCGTGCATATTAAATTAACTCTTCGCTTTTTTGCTTCCTTTTAATCCTTATTTAATTACACCTCATGAATTTAGCAAGGAAGCTTTACAATAACGTTAACTCCTGTAGTAAACCACTTACCTGATAAATATATTATAATTCGTCTTTTCATATGAAAAAGAGCGTTTTAAAGTGTACGTTTTATTTCGTTAAAAAAGAATCTCTAAAGAAATTATTACACAAAATAAAAGAAAATGTATAACAGATATAGATGTGTTGCCAGCATGATATTTTTAGAATGTGTTGTCGATATTAAATACAAATATTGTTTAATTTCTTGTTTTTTTTTCTTGTTTTTTAAATAAATTATAAATATAAAATCCTATAACATGACACATAAAATACAAATGTTCTAAGATACAATTTCGATACAAGACCACTTAACATATATGGGTAACTTATGTATATGAATCGATTAATTTCACACACAAAAAATACTAGAGAAAATTAATAAAGTAATATATTATACATTGCATATCAATACAGTGCTCTGGAATTGAAATTTAAAAATATTCTTTAAGTGATGTTATTCGCTTTGATATGTAAACAGCTCATAAAGCATTTCTTTTTAAATTCACATAAATTTCTATATGATTTGTTTTCAGATTTATTCTAACATATATATTAAAAGAAAATAAAAAAAATATAAACAAAGAGAAAGGAAGACAATGTTGAATTATCCTAACTATAATGAATTAAGGGTGAGAGATAACTCAATGATCTCAATGAAAGGAAAGAGACTGGAGGCGGTCCAAACCGTAGCAATTTAAAGAGCTCTCCCGTCTTTAACGTAATTTTCAATGTACGTACTCGAAATTCTTCGCCACCCACTCCAGGCTTTCTGGAAAAAAAGCCGCAGGCATTCAAGCTTCTTCCTCTAATTTACAAGAGAAATATTCTTGATTAAGAAATTCACCGTTTAAATGAAATAAATCTTATTGTTACTTCGTGCATCGTTTATTTCACATTCATCACTTCTCGAGAAACACTTCTAAACTTCTTGTTGAAAAAATCGATAACTAACGTAACGAATTGATACTCCAGAACGATCCGTTAACAAATTTTTGTTAGGGAAGTTGACAGTGATCTGATTTCTTTAACTAACTGTATCTCTTCGATCCGTTACTCTTCAACTCGAAGTAAACATTCTTTCGAAACGATGCCACATTATGCTATCCGTTCGGTTAAACCGCAGATGTTGAAACCTATCAGTTAATATAAAAAAGAAACAAAAAAATACTTTTCTTCTATAAACATGTCAATGATCGTTGTTCAAATTTCCCGCAAATTATTTTACTCCTTTGGAAAGTAGAAACGATGTTGATAATATCGTTCAGCCGATAAAAACGAACGGACATTAAATACAATTTTGTTTCAAATTTTAGAATGAATATTTCAAAGATTTAGATATTCAATATTATTTTTTTTTTTAAGTCAATTATTTAGATTATTGATTTATATTTCAAATCGATTCGTTGTACATGTGTATGAAATCCAACGGTGTAGGATTTTATCGACATTTCTGAACAATGTTCTGCAAATAATCGGTAGAGGGCGAATTGGTAATACGCACAGTTGAATTTAAAATAAAACATTACTACGTTTTATATAAAAATTTATCAATGATTAATGCATCTACGTAGTAACTTATCAACGATTTATAGCTGCTATACAAAATTATCAACGATTCACTATCAGCAGAATGATTTACAATGTAACAGGAAAA